AATCGATAATAATATCGATAGCAAAGTCGATAAAAATATCGATAACAAAATCATTACAAAATCGATTACAAAATCTATCACAAAATCGATTACAAAATCGATTACGAAGTCGATAACAAAATCGATAAAAATATCGATATCAGAAGCAATAACAATATCGATAGCAAAATCGACAACAAAATAGATAAAACAACCAATAAAAAAATCGATAAAAAAATATCGACAACAAAATCGGTAAAAATATCGATAAGTTCCGAAAATATCGATAAACAATATGGATAACAAAATCGATGAAAATATTGTTAACAAAACCGATAATAATATCGATAGAAAAATCGTTAACACAATCAATGAAAATATCGATAACAAAATCGGCAAAAATATCGATAACATCCATAATAAAATCGATAACAACATCGATAACAAAATCTATTACAAAATCAATAATAAAAATATCGATAACAAAATCGATAAAATATGTCGATAACAAAATCGATAAAAATATCGATAATTATATCGATAAGTTCCAAAAATATCGATAGCAAAATCAATATCGATAAAAATTTCGATAACAAAATCGATAAAAATATCGATCACAAAACCGACAAAATATCGGCTATTATATCGATAATTCCCGAGAATCCCGAAAATCTCTAAAGTCCCGAAATAGTTCCCAGATTGCGTCTCTGTGCCTCTATCTATATCCTTTTCTCTAAAACTACCTTTATTTTAATATTTCTTCCTTTATCTTCATCTATACTTTTATCGGTATCCTCATCCTCATCTTTTTCTTTATATTTATCTTTGTTTTTATTTTTTATGTTTATCATATTCTCATTATACATATTCCCCTTCACCTCTGCCCTTATATAAGTAAAGTGTTTAAATTTGCCTTGGCCTTCATTTTTCCCTTTATCTTTACGCAATTTTGTTTTTGTTTGTATTTTTACCTTTGCCTTTATCCTTTTTTTATCTATGTACGTACTCACCTTTACTTTTGTTTTTGGATTGGTCTTTTTCTAAGTGTTGTTTCACTTCAAAAAGTTCTCGCGTATTATGCATACATGTGTTCATAGATATATGTATGCATGTACATATATACAGTCCGATTCTGTGCACTTGATAAATTGAAAACCTTTATAATATTTGTCAATTTCTTATTATTTATCAAGAATTGGTATTCTAGCACAGAAACCAAAAGCGCTTTTCTCGATAAATTATCAAGATTGAAAATGCTATTGACAAATTGAAATTTCATGTGAAATGTATAAATTTTTTATATTAATAAATTTGTTTCTAACAATGAAATACTCCATGTGCCAACATTTGAACCTGTGACACACGGAATTATAATCGCCATCTTTACCTACTCAGCTACGGCAGTCAAAAGCTTTTTTGCTTTTAAATTCATATTTTTCATATGTGACAATGAATCAGTTCCACTCATGTGGAAATCGTAGAGCTTTTTGTTTCATAAATATTGACACAGAATGCGAATATCAAGAAAACACAGAATTGGGCGGATAATATGTATAGACATACATAGATTAGTAAAAAATAGAAGCAGATCCACATTAACTGCAATCAACATATGTACTTATGTTTAGGAATGTTAGTCCCGGGATCGCGGCAAATAATCCCGGAACTTTCGGGATTTGCAATTTGCACTGATGGCAATAATAGAAACTCCTTTCCTTGACCAGTATTATATTTCTTTTTCTATTTAATAATTAATATTTTTTTTATAAATGTCTAGCTCATTATTCATATAATAACGCGCGATAGTAAATTTTAAACATAAATATCAATATATTCGCGAAACCATGGGCCACATATAGTAAAATTCCGTTTTTAGTTTTTCACTCTGACGTAGGTAAATCAAAAATGATTTGAAAAATTCAGAGAAATGTGCTTAGAGAAGACGTATGGGTATCAATTAAAGAAGAAATCCTGTAGATTTTAAACAGACTAAGCTTTTTGGTGCAGAAGGACTGGATAGGTTAGGTTAAACGGGCAGCTCTGAAAAAGAGTTCACTCGGAGGCCGCAGAGGCCCATTGCGATGCCCATGGGGGTTACCCCAAGCCTATCCCTACATCTCTTCGAACCATTTTGATTTTCTGGCGAATCCTAGCAGTCCTTCCAGAGGAGCTTTCCCCAAGATATCCAGATTCTCGAAGAAGTTGTCCCCAAGAAACTTGAGGCGTTTTCCTCGAAGTGCTGGACACTCGCAAAGGAAGTGCTGGACGGATTCTAACTCCTCCTCATCCCTGCAGCTTCTACAGAAATCATTATGCGAGGCTCCGAACCTGGCGGCCATGTGGCCAATGGTCCAGTGTCCCGTTAGTATTCCTGTGAGAAGCCTGACGTTTGACTTTGAAAGCCTTAATAGACTCCTTGCTCTTCGTTCGTTGAGCCGTGGCCAGAGTGATCGCGATACCCTGCAGGTGTGAAGGTTTACCCTCCTACTGTTGGTAGCTGCCCTGGTCAGTCTCTCGACTTCTGAAGACAGTCGCTTCCCCGAGCCCCATCTCAAATCCCTTCCTAGCACATTCGTCCGCTTCCTCATTTCCCGGGACACCACCCGGTACCCAGTAAAGATTGATTATGTGTTGCTGTAGAGCTTGTAGGGATCTTCCGCACTCTTTAACGCATAACGAGTTATTCGTTGCCGACCCTAAGGCTTTCATAGCCGCCTCACTGACAACAACGAAGGCAAGTTTAGATGGAGCTGAGTCAATCATGCCCACCAACCTTGCCGCCATATGGATTGCCTGAAAAACACTGCAGTGGTCTGGGAGTCTATACGACTCCCTCAGAGATAACTCCTAAGAGAAGACCCCAGATCCTGTTCCGATATCCATTTTTGAGCCGTCCGTGGAGATGGGTATTTCGTCATCGCTGAGAGCAATATTAGATTCCCAGTCACTTCTGTCAGGAAAATGGATATCAAAGTTTCGATTGAAGTCAATTTCCGTGACCTGATGGTCACAGCGGCTGTATTCCACCCCCAGTCTCCCGAGGATTGTGGCGTGACCTTTGCAAGTTGTTCGCAGCCTGTTAGACGCTCTGAGTCGTAGAGCACTTTTAGCTGCGATACTTTTAACATATAGGTCTATAGGTGGAATATCCAGCAGGGTCTATAGAGATGCCTGGGGCGTTGAATAAATCGACCCCGTTGTGCATAAGCATGCTTTTCGTTGCACCTTTTGCAAGTTGAGCAGATGGGATTTGGGATGGGAGTAGAGCGCGTTGAGCACCTTCTTTCTCCGCTCTTCGGTGTTCCTTTTCCAGGAAAGCTTAGAGTCGAGAATAACCCCCACAAACTTTGCTTCTTTTGACAATTCGAGATTTGCTCCATGGAGGGACGGAGGTCGGAAATTGTCTATTTCATATCGCTTGCTGAAGAGAACAAGTTCGGTTTTAGTGGGATTGACCCCTAGGCCGTTTCTTTCTGCCCACCCTGACAGATCGTTAAGTGCAGATTGTAGAATCTCGCTGACCGTGGAGAGGAATTTTTCCACGACCAGAATGACTAAGTCATCCGCATAAGCAACGACCTAAGCGACTTTCGATGTACGAAGCAGGAATTCGTTTAGCACGAGGTTCCCCACTAGGGGGGATAGCACCCCCCCTGATGTTCCCAAGGAGCCATTGATGTTTCTGGTGCTCAACATATTGTCGATGCAGAGAGTGATCAATGGGTCCAGTCCACCATGGAGCAGTATATGGATGCCAAATTAACATTGTTAAAGGCGCCCTCCACGTCCAGGAAGGCTGCCAGCGCATATTCCTTGTGATTCAGTGCTTGCTCTATACTCCCAACAACCTCGTGCAGGGCTGTTTCAACCGACCTACCTTTATGGTAGGCATGCTGAGCCTCGATGAAGTTCCCAGGAGTAAGGCGTTGCGTGATCTGCAGACTCAGAAGCCTCTCCATTATTTTGAGAAGAAATGATGAGAGGCTGATGGGCCTAAAATCTTTTGCAGTGCTGTGGCCTGCTTTTCCTGTTTTGGGAATGAAGACCACTCTTACCTCCCTCCATGGCTTTCGGATATAGCCTAGGAGGAGACTCGCCCTATAGATTGTCGTTAGCCAGGGGGTTACCGTGGCGCTTGTTCGTTGTAGCATGGCTGGAAAGATCCCATCCGGTCCCGGAGATTTGTAGGGTTGAAAGGATCTGATAGCCCAAGCTACTTGGTCTGTAGTGATGATTTCGTCCACTGGACTGCCTTGCCTGTGGGTACTAGGGTGTTCCTTCACACGAGTTCCTGTGTCCCCTGCGTCACCGCAGCCAGGGAAGTGGACGTCCATAAGGTGTTCCAGTGTTTCAAGGCTGCTTTCGGTGTGCCCTCCTCCTGGATTTTTAAGAAAACCTTCTTAGTCGCGCGGCATCAGTAGTCGTTTCGAGGTCCTCGCAAAATTTGGACCACGAAACCTTCTCTGTTTTCTTTATCTCTTTCTTGAACGCATTGAAGTTTCGACGATATTCGTCCCTCCCAGTCCTCCGCGTTCTTAGTGAACTTCGCTTTATTGAAAGCTTTCCTAGCTGCTGTCCTGAGCCGCCTTCGATCGGACGTCCACCATCTTGGGTGTCGCTTAGAGGGTTTGCTCTCGGGACAGGTTGTTATGTAACATTCGTTGAGAGACTTCGTTAGACAGAGGACCGCTCCCTCCAGTTGGTCCGCTGAAATTGGCTCCGCCGTGTACGGTGGACTCGCTCCAGACACCAACTGGCTGAATTTGTTCCAATTTGTCCTACGAGGATTTCGATAAGGATTTAGTGTCGGTCTGCTTAGGTTAATGGAGAATATGTCGCATCGTGATCAGAAAAAGAGCATTTTGTCGAGATGTGCCAGCCGTCAACCCTAACATTGTTCGAGTTAGTTACAAGAGTTATATCTATAACCTCCTCCCTTATTCTATTGTAGAAAGTGGGGTGATTACCCTTGTTACAGATATTAAGTTTTGTTGATAATAAGTAACTAAAGAGTGACTCACCTCTATCGTTGATGTTCGAGCTGTTCCACGCCGTGTGGTGAGCGTTGGCGTCACAGCCAGCCACCATATTTATCCCTCGTTGCTCCGCCCAAGCGGTGAGTTTCCTGAAGGATATTGACGAGGGATCGGGTACATCGTATGGCATGTATAAAGATGCGAGGATGAGGTCGGGTGCTTCCCTCTGCTCCAACATTGCCACTGTCATGTCCGAATCGCTAAATTGGGGAAGAAAGAGAATATTAGTGCTTTTCTTAACCAGAATACAGCTTGTAATTTTACCTTCGGTCTGTGGGGTGAGAAGTAGAAAGTCGCTAGTGGATAGACCTGTGACCCTCCCCGCCACTATCCAGGGTTCTTGTATTAGGGCCACGTCCACATCTTCCTCACCCATGAAGTGCAGCAGATCCTCTGATGCTGCCCTGCAGTGATGCAGATTAATCTGCACCACCTTTAGGCTTTTCGGATTCTCTTTCAGCATCGGGGATGATCACCCTAAGGTGACCGATGCCATATCTTATTTGTCCGGCTTTGCGACGCAGGATGTGCAAGGATTGTGGACCGATCTTGATCCAAAGGTCCTTGCCGTTACCCTTGTCGCGAGCGCGGCCTCGGACAATCGTCCAGTCATCAGCGATGACATCCACGTTCTGACATTTGATTAAGGCTAGTGAGGTCTCGTCCTCCACGAGGGGGGGCGGGATCCACACTCGCACTGTCGTACGGTATGGCACCTCTGAGAACGGAACAACTTCTAGTCGTGCGTTGGCCCAAAGTTCATCTTGGCTGCGGACGCAGTTTGTTAGGAAGTCTAACGACTCCTTGTTACCGCATCCAACAACTTTGACTCCGTTCTGCCACTTGGCTTCATCAAACATACCAATGTTGTTGTATTTGGTACGCTGGATTTCACCAAGTAGCGCCCTCATAATCTCTTCTTCCAGGAGCAACCATTTGTCCGTCGGAATCTTTCCTTCCGGGTGATTCCGGTCTATGATTGCTACCTGGAGCTCTGGTGCTGAGCATAAGGTCGATGAAGTTTTCACCCGCTTCTGCTCAGGCTGTGTCTGCTTGTCGCCAGACAGTTGTCTTTTCGGAGTGCGTGCAACCGGTCCCTTACCACCGGAGGCAATAGCAGCTGCCGACGTCGAGTCCTTCTCCCCGTCCAGCTGTGGGAACACTGGCCTCGCGGTCTTCGGCACCTTGGGCGTCAGTGAT